CTGAACTGCTCTGCCTCAGGTGCATCTTTGCGTAGAAGTGTTTGCCCCACATTTAACATATGAAGTACTGGAGAAAAACAGCAAACGTAAGCATGGCTAAGAAAAATGAAAAGTAAATAATAGAAATCAGACCACATTGCAAAAACCAGAAAAGGTGCAACTTTACCCAAAGAGTAGTCTTCACTTCTCCTCCGAAGATCCTTCACACTTGGAATGTGCTCTACAGGAATCACTAAGTAATGCCTGATCCATGCAATTGCAAAATACTCATTTTTGTCATTGATCAGAGAACTAAGTCAATATATACCATCAATTTGAAGCCAATAATTGACCTGAAAGCTGCAGGCTTGATGTCTTGAAATGTGACGACCTTGTCATCCTGATAAGAATAAAAATTGAAACTTGATTAGAATCTGGTATCGAAGAAAGTACCCATTTGGATTAGAACTTTCTCGGCAACCAATCAGAGGTTAGAGAGCGTAGGAAATGAACACAGAAAGATGGAGCAAGCAAGCGAATGAGAGAGAAAAACAGACAGAGTGAAGAAGAGGAGTGGAGCTGGATTTGCCAGCAATCTGACAGAAGACGCATGGCGACGGCGGCGGCGGCAGCGCTCCCGCCATTTCCCCCCAACCTAGGAAGGATCAATCCCTAATCGTCATTTTCTTGAAGGGTTTAATACCTTTCGTGCTGAAACAAGGTTCTGAAACGACGACGTTTAGCTGGTTGAAGAGGAATTCCATGTCATGCCCTGTCTCCCTACTTCCGCTCAAACTCAGATGAATTCTTTGATCTCCAAATTCCCTCCGTCTCTCTTCGCTTCAAAAATCACTTCACTTCGATCCCTAACTCACTTCCTAACTTCAACAGGGCCACCGCAACTAGATTCATGAGTTCTGAGTCTGCTCAGCGGGTCTTCCAACTCAGACTCGATCCACTCACCGGGAACTCGGAGTGGGTCGTCATCGACGAGAACGAGGAAGGTCCGGAAAGTTTCAAGGAGCCTCTTCTAGCTACGACGTCGTATCTCGACATGCTCAATGACTCGTCCCGGAACAGAGCCTACCGGTTGGCCATCGAGAAGACTGTAACAAAACCTTGCCACGTTCTTGATATTGGGTGATTCCATTGTAATTCAATTCAGTTATGCTTCTTGCTCTTTTTTTTTCTTTTTGTTT